ATTTATTAAACATAAAAGACAGGACATAAGATTCACAAAGCAAATTTCAGTTACTAGAATATCAAACCTCCCTTCTAAATTCCATGTTTTGCTTATATTTTAGAGAAAAGGGACTTTGACTGGGGGGGGGGGCCAAAATGGTTGGGTGGGGGGGCCACCATGGGGGCTGGGGGGGCTTTGGCCCCCCCCAGTTATATAGTTAAAAAATGCCCTGAATATACCACACGCGCCACAGCATCTAATTGCGCATTAACAACTCTGTTGGCTTGTTAAACAAAGCTCATGTTACCGTATACAGATTACGTATAGACAAATATTATCTTGTTTGTTTAATTGAAAGGTATGGATCGTGACATTACAAAGATAGGATAAAGGTCATAAAGAAATTGTACGCGCATTCTGTTCAGAAACGGTGGACACTGTTCAGTTGTACTGTATTTAACCATTATTGCCTCGACTTTATTCTTTTTTAAAACGGATCAAAACTGACTAGAATAAAATTATAAAAATAAATTAAATGATGAAGGGACACCCCCTGGCAGGGGTGTAAAACACAAATGGCACTTCCACTAATATCTACAAATATTGCAAAATCTTCATTCGAACTCGTCTCAAGTGTGAATTTTTCCTACAGAGTCCCTGAGTCAAGTGTTTTCGAAACTTATTATTAATTATTAATAAGAATCGTGTTTAGTTCTTCCCTGTTTTCTTTAATTATTGGTGCTCCATACTCAGACATCATTGGTCGTGTGCTGACAGCCAGATGCGCCCTAGAATAAGCCTTCGACATGTCAAGTCAGGATGAAAAAGGAATGAAAATTAACGACCTAATAAAATCAACATGATGTTGCAGTATTCAATGGCAAAAATCCACAAAACCAACTGACAATCTAGCCTCCTCCGCAGGCAACTGTGTAGTTCTGCAACGTTATTAACTATAAAAGATTTATCAGGAAGCGTAAATTAAAAAGGCCTGGAGCGGAAAAATAGGGAGGCTTGTGGATAATGTAGGAAGTAATGGGATAATAATGGGGCGAAAACGTTACGCTTCTTGTTTATTAATATCATATCGTATTTCAGAACTATTTCCTTGTATTTTCTATGTTCCTGATAAATCTTTTATAGTTAATAACGTTGCAGAACTACACAGTTGCCTGCGGAGGAGGCTACCGACAATCAAAAGAAAAGCATCTTGTAAAACTCAACATATTTGACAAAGTAACAAAGAGAGCTTAATTAAGTAAAAGCCACGTTTTTGACAGCACATGTACGCTAACCGGAAGTCAATAACTTTCTACAGTTCCGGAAAGAACAAAATTGGTACAAATTGGTACAGTATTGACGTCACTAATGCGGTACGAGATTGAAAGAACGGTCAGCCAAACTTCATTCAGGTTGTATTTGCTGACGGATCATCTAATCAATGGAGGCGATATTTTCCCGTCACTTAAGCCCCGTTTACACTACGCTCAATTTTTGGCACGGCACGGATAAAATTGGTACCCGTACCACTTTTTTGGTTCTTGGACTACCTATTTAGCTAAGTCCCGTTTACACTACGCTCAATGTTTGGTACCGTACCACTTTTTGGTTCTTGGACTACCTAAATAGGTAGTCCAAGAACCAAAAAAGTGGTACGGGCACCAATTTTATCCGTGCCGTACCAAAAATTGAGCGTAGTGTAAACGGGGCTTTAGCCACGGAAAACTTGCACCAGATGGAGAAGTCATTCCTGTTTAAATCATAATTAAACAACGGTTTGACGTCGGGTATTGCTTGCAATGGCATGCATACACTGTATAAATTCAGAAGAGTAGTTTTGACCCCTTGGGGTCATTTCCGTCCCTTTGGAAAGAGGGTAGTTTCTACTCCTCGAAAGGGTCGTTTCAACTCCAAGGGTAGTTTTGACTCCATGGAAGGGTCAAAATAACTCTTCGCGGGAATCTTGCGACTCCGCGTGAGAGTAACACTACTCTTCGAAGGGTCCAATTTTTCATTTTTATTGCCGACAAACATTCGCTTTTTAAGCAAAGTTAATACATTTTAAAGAATATGAAACATCATGCAAGGATGACTGAGTAATATTCAGGTAAGAATATTGTTATGTTTTATACATAATATAACTTACACGAGATCACATTGGCAGCTGAGCCGAAAGTTATTGTTTCGTGTACACGCAAAGAAATTCGGGATGTCAGCATATAGCCAAGATTGCATGAACAACGATAACTTCCTATTGTGTTAATGCAGTTTTGTTCACATTTATGTTCTTCTCTTTTACATATAACTGTGAATAGGTTTAATTGTAACTGAAACAGACAATACTGAAAATAATAAATAAAAGCAAACAATATTTTCATCTTCATCAGAGAAATACGACACGTGTAAGAAGTGTTACTAACGAAATGCATCTATATATGAATCTACTAGAGCATCAATAAATTTGTGTTTAGTGCGCTTTCACTAACATTCCACGTACAAATTTCCACATACAATTTTCACAGTTCGTTTAATGGACGTTTGACTTTAAGTCAAAATAGTGGCTTATTTAACACATCAAAATTATATCGCCTTCTATCCCGTCCCGGCAAAGTGGAATCATACAAAGGACATACAAAGAGCGTAAAAAGAAAATATAAATTACTGAATAATACACTTCGACTCCACCCCTATAGTTGGTCTTGATAAAGTCTGGCAAACTGAAGTGGAGAGAGAAGTTCTAAAACCATTGTATTGAATATCCGCGAGGTGAGTTATAGACCTTTTATGTAGAAATTTGGTTTGTATACTGTTATTTGACGAAATATCTGTTGTTGCAATTTGTCTATGAGTCTTGTGATCCAAAGGCACAGACCTTTTTATAAACGTGCCTTGCCAAAGACCCACATAAAACTGCCAAATTCCATGTTACTTTGCTTTGATTAAATTAATTAATCCGTTGTTATAGAAGTCAAATATAGGAATAAGAACATTTCTCAAACCAGTTGAGTTGCCACGTGTTCACTCATAAATAATACTTGTATGTCCCTCATTCATATTAATCACAGTACACTACAGCATTGTTTTTACTGGTTGATGTGAAACTGAGTGCATGCATACTGCAGCTGTCCCTGGTATTCGTCACGTGTGTGGAACACGCTTACATGTTAATGACCACATCTGCATCAAGAAAAAACACTAAATAGTCAAATTGAGTAACTTTGGATTTATACTTTTAGCTTTGGATTTATACAACATATATAATTTTGTAACAATTATATGGTACTGTACTAATTGTCGTCATTTTAATTAATAAAGTGATATTTCATGTTCTTTTTAGTTTTTATGTCTTTCTATGACTGTCCTGAACTGCAATTTCAGTACACATATATATGTACGCTATAGCGTACCAATTTTTCCGCGATTCTATCAGTGTCAGTGTGTCTTTTTATCATACAAAATTCGAATCTTTTTTATCTATACACGACTTTCTTCTCCTCTTGTGACACTGTGAGTGAGTTCGGTATCACCAGCAGTAAGACCAGCGTTACCAGATAGTTTACGATTCACCTTACGACCTGTTGCTCTAGTCACCAAATGATTCAAAAAACTTTGATAACCTTTTCTAAACTGCCGGTCGCCCACGCCATATATGAAGGGGTTTAGCGTACAGCTTCCAATATAAGAAAATATCACGAACAATTTACTAAGTTTGGACAATTTTTCTTCACTCATGCCTTGAAAGTCAGCTATGATCCATAGTAATTGGTAGGGCAACATGAATACGCAAAATACGACCACAACCGTTATTATAGTTTTCAGAGCTTTCTTATTGCGTTGTTCCCGTTCTCGCTCACAACGAGTTTTCGAGCTCGTGCCTGAATACAACGAGATTCTTTTGCGTTCACCATGTTTCGAAAGATTCACGCGCTGCGTTTTCCTCGTGAGATGTCGTGCGATGCTTGTGTACACGATGATCATTATAACCAACGGTACAGCGTATTGTAGTGTGAAAAGAAAAACTGTATATAACTGTCTGTAGAGAAACTTCGGCCAGTTTTCAAAACACACTTCTCCTTCGAGTTTCAAACTTAACATATAAGGAATAACTGAAGCAACTGAAAACACATAAATTAATACGATAAGTTTCTGTGCTTGAGCTCGACGTAGTTTGGCTTTAAATGTTTGCACAAATACTCTGTATCGATCAAGAGAGATGACAGTCAGAATGAGCGCCCCAGATACATAGAAGACAGTATTTACTGGATATAATATTTTACACATGAAGCCACCAAACCTCCAACGATTGCCATTGACAAGAGTATGTATATCAAACGGAATGTTGGCAACAACTAAACTGATGTCAGAAATAGCGAGATGAAGGAGTAGAAAATTGCACGTAGTTTGAAGTTTCTTCTCATGAATGATGGTAAATATAACCAAGAAATTTCCTAAAACACTCACGGTCAATATGAGAACATCAAACACAATGTTAACAACCACAAGCTCTCTGCTCATCCAGTCTTCTAAAGTTGTAGAATTTTCGCTTGAATTCAAATTAAGCAAGTCTGTAGCCATTATATATTAAACAACTAAAAATAAATGGAGACTTATATAATCCGGTTGTATCGTCAGTCCAAATTTTCGATACAATTTCCAATCAAAGAGAAATATCTCGTCAGCTGCGGTATAGGCTGACAAAAACCTTTGAATATACGAACTTTTGCTGCACGTCGTTCTATGCCTCAATTGCTTATAACTCTTCTGTTTGCAATATCTGATACTTGATGCTTTTTATATAAAGTGCTATATGCCTATGTAAACATGTGTACTAATGCCATGAATAAAAAACTAGGTTAATCATAATTGCAAGACCGAAATAGAAAGATATTAGGAGTCATAAGTATAGGTTGTCAAGGTAGATCATTAGAAAATACTTGATACAGATAGAATATCAGAGGTTAAGATATTTTTTCAATCTAGTTTTGTCAAATTTTCACTTTTCATGTTAAGTGACTGTTTGTACTAAGAATGTTGTTATCGCCTGCTTGGCGATGGAGGACAAACATTTGAGTGTGAGTATAGACAATATTCAATAACATGTTGATTGTTGTCATGCAGTTTGGAGATTTTTTTACTTTTGGTTCTTTTAATAAAAAATTGAAGGGCAGCAAACACAGTCAGTTTAGTTTTTTCTCATGCAGGGTTTTAAAATTTACAAATTTCCTCAGCTGTGATAAATAGAGTATACTACTCAATATGTAGAAAACAGCTGTTTGAAAACGTATATTAAACGTGAAAAACAAGACATGCAAGAAACAACAAAACAAAAACAGAATGATAAAACGTATAGACTTTGCATAAAACGAAATAATTAATGACAATTATATACAGTAGATATAGCAACTATAGAATCCTTTATCGACCCAGTTTATCGTCACCTCTGCATGCATTTTTCCACGAGGTTGAATGTTTATGAGAAATGTGGTTGTTTTGTACACATAAGTCAAGGCATTCATGTATTTTGCAACATCGCATAACTTATCAGTTATCACCCAACAAAATCTGCATGCAGATGTTGCAGCTGCCCAAAATTGAGGCAAAACAAATGAGATAATGTTTGTACTTTTCATTTCAAGTGGATGGCAAGCAGATTATTGCAATTACCCAATTAAACAGTAAAACATGTCTTGATATTACATGCAATTTCCCCTATTTTTAGATATTTTTTCTAAAAAAAGTTTCACATAAAAATAGCAGGAGGAGGGATACGCCGGTGTCATTAATTTCATTAACTCTTTCTAAATTAAGTGCTGGGAAAATTTTAACAAGCCGATATTTTCTCTTTACCTTACGAACGTATGATCTGTAATCGATATAGGGACATCAGAATTTCATATATTAACAGGGGACTTCTAATGATATTATGTTAAATTGAGAGAGCTAGCTCATGCATCATTGGGAACATTATGATGTTTTTTCTTATCAAAATCAGTCCAGCAATTAAAAACCACGTTAGTTTGAAGTGTTAATCTTTGCGCTTAACTTTAAAAGAAGAACATATTTAGTAGTACAGCAACAGAATGCCCAATGTCAGAGTTTCATCCAGTCACCGTGAAATTTCCATTACAGTTTAACAACCTTTAGGTCCACAACCAGTGTAAGTCTAAGGCAGTATATAGTATATGTACATGTAGTGTGGTGTTGAACATGCAGAATTAAACATCAGGCGTTAAAGAGCGAGTTACAGTATTATAATTCATCTGTGTGCAGATGACATGCAAACATTTAAATGCTTGAATAACTTAAAGTAAAGATCTGTTGAGCACTTGAGACGCCACAACATTCAGCTGCCTATCACGTCATGCGTCAGTGGATTAGTAATAACAATAAGCGTTTTAAATCAGAGCAATAACCAAACTGCATGCATGATTGGAAATTCCTTTCTTACAAGCCAATTAAATTATTGAATACAGTAAAATCGTCAACGGACTAAAGGAAATTTCTAAGGTCGGAGCAATTGCTGAAACCGAATCGAAATTTCATATTATTCTGACACTGCAATCGACCAACGAAAAATTCGTTGGCTCGAGCGGGATTTGAACTCGCATCTTCGGTTTTTCGTATCTCTGAGGATGGTTCTGAAATAGAATCGACATTTCTTGGCGATGTACTTATATTCCTACAAGGAAACGATATCCCTTGGCAAAAGATCAAGCAAAGCGTCGAAAGTTTAAAAATTCAGCAGCATTTGAGCATCTTAAATGAAATTAATTACATAATGAATTTAATGGACAAAAGGAAACGGAAAACACGTCTATTCATACTGTTCGATAAAATTAGAAAATAAAAAGCCAGACTATATAATATATTAGTAATCTGCATCTATGCAAAATTGATTAAATTTGCGAATTCACTGGAAGTGTCAGGCGGGTCAGCTGACGTCACTGAACCGTTATATTTCCACTTTAAGAATGCCGAATGTGACGAGTTATTCTCGACAAATTTTCTTGCAAACCTTGCCTTCTATATAGATATCAGTATAGAAAAAATCATAGGCGTCAAAAGGTCGATAAGTGGGGGGACCATATTCATATATTCGTGTTCACAGACCTTACAAAAACAATCGATTTCAAAAGAAATTAATAATATAGAACACGAATATATGAATATGGTCCCCCCACTTATCGATCTCTTGACGCCTATGGAAAAAATAAGCAGTTTTCTTTCATAACTAGACATGCTCCAAGCCTGTTGCTCTTTTCCCAATTCTCTCGCGTCAGATTTTCTTTAAATCAATGAACACTTAAAACAATTTCTTAATTGCAAAATCTCTATTATATTTTATCAAAAATACAGAACATTTCGTATAAAATTTGTTTCCACTGCTTTTTCAATATAATGTTGATATTATAAGGCATAACCGTAGACGTATCAATATGCATAAAAAATATTTTACTGACTTATTAATTTATGACTGGCCTGAGTTTTCCTCCCACTTCATGCATCTTTGAACTGCACGTTTCCACTTGACGTACTGCGACTCTCGTTCTAGAAACAACAACGTATTATTTTACTTTCTGGACAAACGCCCTAAGGTGTTTCGGAGCAAACAGTTGCTCTGAATAATTATATAATGAACTGGGGTAGTACTCCGCTTAGAGCAGATTTCGATTTTCTTGTTTCACTGTTAATCATATAAAGGGCAAAACTACTCAAATATAATTGGCTAATGGGGAGGGCATTTTTTCTTAATTCAGGGCAAAATTACTTGCATCTGATTGGCTGAGACGCAAGCGCGGGAAGTTTCTTGTTTTAATTAAATAGCAATAAAAACAATGGCTTCTCGGTTTGTCGTCGCGCATAATGATGTTATTGAAGAATTTAAAAACTTCTATAGTGAAAACTTGAACACTAGAAAAAGTACAAATTTATTGGTTGGAGTATTTAAGAAATGGGCAGGCAGGGCAAGTAGTAATAGTAAAAAAGAAATAAAAAAAAGGAGGAGTGCGAACCTATTTTATTTAATAGAGAATAGTATTGAAAAAGAAAGTAAAATAATGTCGGAATAGTTATTCCATGGATAATAAAATAAATGGATATGAAACTAGCTGACGTGACCTAATGTTTTTACTGGGATTGATGGCGTGGCTGGATGCCTCAACCTAGTTGAAAATCAAATTCTCAAAAACGGCATGTTTAGCAATAATACAGCTAAACATTTTAGTCAAAGAGCAAATAAATGTAACCACGCCATTCTACGATGAAAACTCTAAGTATTCCCAGTCAATTTTAGC